ACCTTCGCCCATCGACCCCCAGAGCCACCTGCCCGACCTCCAGCCTCAAACTCCCGACTCAGCGTGCACAACCAGCTGTCGACCTCCAACCTCCAAGCTCCAGCTTTCGACCTCCACCTCATAAGCGCCAGCCTCACCTGACCGACCTCCAGCTTCCAGTTCTGACCTTCAGCGCACACCACCAGCCGTTGACCTCCAACACCCCGCCTCCAGCTTTCGACCACCTCCTACTGACCACCAGCTTCACCAGACCGACCTCCAATCCAACCTCCGGGCCCCCGGAGTGCACCCAGTCGACGGCCGCCAGTCTGTCGCACACAGCTTTTGACATCCACCCCGTGCCCACAGACCACCAGCCTCACCTGACCGACCTCCAGCGTGCACGTGTGCCATTGACCTCCGACCTTCCACCTCCAGCGTTCGACTCCACCTCACACTCGGCCACCTCGCCCGACTGACCTCCAGCTTCCAGCATCCAACCTCCGACGCGCACCACGACCCGTCGGCCTCCGACATCCGACCTTGAGCTTTCGACATCCATCTCTCAACTTCCATCCACAGGGGAACAAAAAGTGGCATAAACACAAAAACCTCGGAGGTCCGCGCGGATCTCTCGGATCGGCGCTGGACCCCCCTCCCTGGCGCGCGGAGCGCCCCAGGGGCGGCGCCGGAGGCGCCGCCGGGGGGCCCCAGCGCCGATCCGAGAAATCCGCGCGGACCTCCGAGTTGTTATGTTTATGCCACTTTTTGTTCCCCTAATCCACACTTCCTCGACCACTGAGGAAGTGTGGATTAAGGGAACCTAATCCACACTTCCTAGACCACTTCCTCGACCACTTTTTGTTCCCCTAATCCACACTTGCACCCGACGCTCACATCCCCACTTCCTCGACCGCTGAGGGCTCCGGCCCCGCCCGCGCTGCCCTCCGAGGGCTGGCCCCACCGGCCCGACAATCGCGCGCTCGCCTCGCGCTCGCCTCTCCCGTGCGCCTCGGGCTTCCGGGGCAAAGGGGAGCCCGACGCAGCAGTGGATCTGGACACGAGTCCTGCCCGCATCAGGTGGCGCCTGCGTCAGCGCACTGAAGTATCTAGACGCCTGAGGTTGGTCTGCTGTCCGAACTGCGATGAAACAGCTCTTGCGCTCTACACTTTTTCTCAGAGGCGATGAAAGCTTTATCTATGTTTGTCGAGCTGTAGGCAAGCTACAGACAATCAATCAGGCGCGCCATTTTTCAACGTAAGGCCCGAGATCCGACGCATGGGCCACATCCAGATGGAGCTTCTTCGCAGCGTTCGGCCTCTGGGGTCCCCCGCTGGGCCCCAGGAGCGCTAGAAACGACTCGGGACGAAAGAGCGGCCACTGGGAAAGGGCTGGAGTCTCCAGGGGCAGCGTGTCGAAGTAGTCCCCCCTTGGCGCGCCGCAGAGTGTCAGAAAGGACGACGCAAGCACAACTGTCGCAGGCGATTTTTCTCCCCCAACCTCCGAGTTCCGCCCGAACAGTTTAGCCGTTCAGACAGAAGGGACGACTCTGGGATACACCCCAAGGGGGGCTCTTCGCACGCACCCCTATGGAGGATGGACGCCCCTCCACATCCCAGGGTTGGGCTCCACACTTCTACTCCGCTCGAAAGCCCCACGAAGCCTGGGATAGGGGCCGACAGATCCCCTATTAGCAGGGTTCGAGAGCTTGCGCAGATTTCTCGCACCTGCGCTGGGCCCCCAGACCCCCCCCCTGTTGTGCGCCTACGGCGCGCGAGGGGACGGAGACGCGCCTGCCAGGAGCCGAGGGGGCTCGGCGCAGACTCGGGCACTCCTCGCGCGGGCCTTCGCAGAAGTCTGCGTGCTCGTCGCGTGTTCGGCTCGTTTTCCTTCGGCGAGGGAGAGAGAGAGAGAGAGAGAGAGAGAGAGAAAAAAAAGACAGCGGGCGAAGAACGGTATTCAGAGGAGGAAGAGGTGCCCATACATCTGCCCTTCGCCCAATGTCCCTTTCTGGTCCTCATGGGAGGCCCTCGTTGCCGCTGCTGGATTCGCGCCCCGGGAGAGGTCCGGGGAGGAGCGGTATCGGTATCTTTTGGTCTCCCCAGGTGTAACATCATTTTTGTCAGTCATTGGAGGCGCCTGTCTGAAGTCGGGCATGTCCCTCGACAGGAGGAATATTCAAACATAGTTTTTTCAATATAAAAAAAGGAACGAATTATCCCGGCAAAGCAACCTAACAGCGATGTGTAGAAGCATATATGGAAGCATTCCCCTTAAGATTCAGATGATAATCCCGTTGTAGTGCTCTGCTGTTCTCGCAGTCGCAGTCGCATTCGCGATGACAGTCGCGGTGGCAGCGGCAGTCGCAGTCACAGCCTCAGCAGGCCTCAGTATCAGCCTGCCTCAGCCTCAGCCTCAGCCTCAGCCTCAGCCTCAGCCTCAGCCTCAGCCTCAGCCTCAGCCTCAGCCTGCCTCAGCCTCAGCCTGCCTCAGTATCAGCCTCAGCCCAGCCTCAGCCTGCCTCAGCCTCAGCCTCAGCCTGCTTCAGCCTCAGCCTCAGCCTGCCTTCAGCCTCGGCCTCAGCCTCAGCCTGCCTCAGCCTCAGCCTGCATCAGCCTCAGCCTCAGCCTCGCCCTGGCTCAGCATCAGCCTGCCTCAGCGTCTGCCTCAGCCTGCCTCAGCCTCAGCCTCACCCTCAGCCTCAGCCTCAGCCTCAGCCTGCCTCAGCCTCAGCCTGCCTCCTCAGCCTCAGCCTGCCTCAGCATCAGCTGCCTCAGTCTCAGCCTCAGCCTGCCTCAGCCTGCTTCAGCCTCAGCCTCAGTCTGCCTTCAGCCTCAGCCTCAGCCCTCAGCCTCAGCCTCAGCCTCAGCCTGCCTCAGCCTCAGCCTGCTTCAGCCTCAGCCTCAGCCTGCCTTCAGCCTCAGCCTCAGCCTGCCTCAGCCTCAGCCTGCATCAGCCTCAGCCTCAGCCTCAGCCTGCCTCAGCATCAGCCTGCCTCAGCCTCAGCCTCAGCCTGCCTCAGCCTCAGCCTCGTCTGCCTCAGCCTGCCTTCAGCCTCGGCCTCAGCCTCAGCCTGCCTCAGCCTCATCAGCCTCAGCCTGCCTGCCTCAGCCTCAGCCTCAGCATCAGCATCACCATTCTCAGCCTCTGCATCAGCATCAAAATGTGGCCCGGGAATGGAGTTCTGGGAACTCGAAGAGCACGAAGTGGCCTACAGTTGGCTCCGGGCATTCAAAATGTGGCCCGGGAATGGAGTTCTGGGAACTCGAAGAGCACGAAGTGGCCTACAGTTGGCTCCGGGCATTCAAAATGTGGCCCGGGAATGGAGTTCTGGGCACTCGAAGACACGAAGTGGCCTACAGTTGGCTCCGGGCATTCAAAATGTGGCCCGGGAATGGAGTTCTGGGAAGTCGAAGAGCACGAAGTGGCCTACAGTTGGCTCCGGGCATTCAAAATGTGGCCCGGGAATAGAGTTCTGGGAAGTCGAAGAGCACGAAGTGGCCTACAGTTGGCTCCAGGCATTCAGAATGTGGCCTGGGAATGGAGTTCTGGGAGGTCGAAGAGCACGAAGTGTGTGTGACTGTTTGCGAAAAACGCATTCGGACACGAGTTCGGACACAGCTCCCCGGGTCCCGCCCCGACCCCCTGTGGAGTCATCTGCTGCTCTCTTTTGACACCACTAGAAACCTATCAGCAAAAGCTGTTAGGTAACAAACAACAAAAACGTCAGGGGACGATGTTTTGTGTATGCTTTGAAAATTGTTCAATATTTTTGGGGCATGCTTGGTTTTTCGACTAAAGTCCTCCTGTAGGAGGGTCTGCACGGCCTAATGCCTGTCCCAGGGCGGCTGGGAAGTTGTCGTCTAGACGTGAGAGTGTTCTTTCGCCGGAGTGATCTTTGGTGCGGGCCAAATGGGCTCCCCCGGTCGCCAGACGCGATGCGATAGTAGCGTCTTGCGCGCTTGCGTTTGTTCCCCTCCGCGGTCCCCCAAAGAGCCGCCCACCAAAGGTCACTCTTACCCAGGGTCACTCTTGTGTGTGTTTCGCCTTCCGGGACTTCGCCCCCGGTTCCTGTCCAAGGCGTACTTTTCCTGCACATCCACTTCGGCACCGCCTGTTCCCTGGGCCCCGCCCGCTCCTGGCCGCCTGAGGCCCTGCCTACCTGCGCATTGTCTCCCTAATTAAAGCTGTGCGTAGCCCGCCTAGCTTTTAGCGGAAGAGGTTCGCTCTCGCCCCGCAGATCAAACAAGTGTTTTCGAAGTTTCTGACCCCGACTTGCCACCGTAGGGGTGTACGCTTTCCAGGCGCTCTGGGACGGGCGTCCCCGCCGGCGAACCGGTCTATTGCCTACCGGTCTTCGCCCGTTGAAGGAAGAGTGCGGGGGGAACGGGGGCAACTTTGTTCGTGCTCTCTCTTCGTTGCTTCTTCTTCCTCCTCCTCCTCTATTTATCTCATTTGCCGTCCTCTCCTGATGATTGTTTTTGTTCGTCTTCCTCCTCATTCCCTCTTCCTCTCTATTGTTCTTATGTAATAATCAGTATCATTAGTATTACCCATATCATTAGTATCCGCATTCTTATTGGTACGATGTCTATTGCGATGAGTGTCCTCAGTATTATTTCCATTCGTATTGTTAGTGCTCGTAGTAGCAGTACTGTTATTGTTATCATTCGTATCCTTATTATGACAACTAGTTATGTTTTTATTACTGTTAGCATCGTTCGTATTATCCTTATTCGTATAAGTAGTATCACCATTAGCATCTTCTTAGTATTAGTATGTCTTTCCTCTTTGCCAGTTTACCATTCGTATTCCTTATTCGTTTCCCAATCCTTGTTCGTTTTTTTCATTCCTCTGCTTACGATTCACCCCTTTACTCCTCTTCGTGCTCCTGTTTCGTCTTCTTCTTCCTCCTCTCTCTCTCTCTCTATGGTTTTCTGCTATTTGCTCCCTTCTCGCGACGCGCCTTGGCACCTGCGGTCTGCGAGGCGGCGGTGGCGGCGGCTACTCGGGCGGCCAGAGCGCTTACTACCGGCGGTGAGGGCCACCCCCTGGTTTGCCCTTCCTGTCCGCGGAGGCGGGGCCCGGACGGCCCGCGCAGCGGCTGCCTCGAGGAGGCTGAGGGGGAGGGGGAGGGGGTGGGGGATGGGGGAGTGAGAGGGCGAGGGGAACGGGTAGGGGGAGGATAAGGAGGAGGAGGAGGAGGAGGAGGAGAGGAGGAGGAGAAGGATGATGAGGAGGAGGTGGAGGAGGAGGAGGAGGTGGAGGAGGAGGAGGAGGAGGAGAAGAGGAGGAGAGGAGGAGGAGGAGGAGGAGGAGGAGGAGGAGGAGGGAGGAGGAGGAGGAGGAGGAGGAGCAGGAGGAGGAGGAGGAGGAGGTTGAGGAGGAGGAGGAGGAGGAGGAGGAGGAGGAGGAGGAGGTGGAGGAGGAGGAGGAGGAGGAAGAGGCGACTCGACGGCGCTCCGTGCCGCGGCGCGACCGTCGGAAGAAGCTACGCGCAGGGCCAGGCGCGACAAGCATGAGAGATTCCCAGGGACCCAGGGGGCGTTTAAACGCGTTCGCCCTGGAGACCTCCGGCCGCTTGGGCGCTGAGGCAGGCGCGGTAGTGGCTGCTGGCGCAGGTGTGCGAGTTCCCCGAGGACACGCAGCTCAGGAGCTGGCGCGCGCCCACAAGGCGCGCAGCTGCGCGCTGCAACGCCAGGTGGCGCGCCAGCTCCGGCGCGCCGCCTGGCTGCGCTGAGCCGCGAGAGCTGCCGTGCGCGGGCTGGGGGCGGCGCTGAGCTGCTGCGCAGGGTCAGAAACGGCGCGCCGGAGGCCGAGCCGCCCGGGGCGCGGCCTTGCGGCCGCGGGGGTCGTCAGCTGACTGGGCGGCGGCCAGCGTGGCTGGCGCCCGAGCACGCCGGGCTGGGGGCTGCCAGCGGCGCCAGCTGGCGGAGGGGCGTGCGCTGGGGCGCTCGCTGCTGCGCGGGGCTGCCGCCGGGCCTCGCGCTGGCGGCGCTGCGCGGGCCGGCGGGGAGGTGTCGTCGCGTTCGCCCTGGTGGTCCCTGGTAATGGATTCTATAGGCCCCGGCTGGCGCACCTCTTCCTTTTTGGGGGATCGTGCCTGGGGTAAGGGAGTCGCGCGTGCTTCTGATCACAGTGTGCCCGCGGCACCAAGGCCCGCGTGCGCCGCGGAGGAGGGGGAGGAAGACGGGGAGGAAGAGGAGGAAAGGGAGGTGGAGGAGGAGGAGGAGGAGGAGGAGGAAGAGGAGGAGGAGGAATAGGAGGAGGAGGAGGAGGAGGAGGAGTAGGAGTAGGAAGAGGAGGGGGAGGAGGAGGAGGAGGAGGAAAAGGAGGGGGAGGAGGAGGAGGAGGAGGAGGAGGAGGAGGAGGAGGAGGAGGAGGAGGAGGAGGAGGAGGAGCAGCACGGATGTGATTTCGCTTTGGGAGGAGACTTCAATTTAGCCCCCTGTACCCTGGCCCAAACGAATTGTGCCGAGATTTTGATGGGGACGATGGTTGCGGCCGCTGGTCACACACACTTCCCGTCTGGTGGTGCCCGCCCTGACACGTTTGATTTTTTCGTTTGCTCGGCTTCGCTCAGCCGATGCATGCAGGAGATCCGTGTCGTCACAGAATCCGATTTCCCACCTCACAAGCCAGTTCCCTGGCCGCTCTGAAGGCTCTAGCCTTCCGCCGTCCCCCTGATCTCCCGTCGCGTCCGCCTGTTGGGCCCCAGCCGTGTCCCGGGGACTGCTCTTCGGCGTTGGAGTGTTCTAGGGCGGCGCACAAAATGGCTCTGGAGGGAAATTTGGAAGAAGCGCGTCGTCTCCTTACCCCTGGTTATCGACTGTGGGCCAACCAGGCCGAAAAAGTGTTTTGAGTCGGATTTTTGGCACCCCCCTCCCTGCCCACGGACGGCATGAGGGATAAACGCCCGAAGCTCATGTGGAAGTCGGTCTTGAAACTAGGGGAGGTCAAATATCCCCGCCTTAGATCAACTGGTTGGCTTCGCAACTTCGAGCCCTTACGTGTTACTTCGCAGATGAAGGAGCGGATCTACGAAGTGAAGGATGTGGTGTTGCCCGCAGCTTTCAGCGTGTGCTTCCCGATGTCGCTGTGCAGCCTGACTCGGAGCGGCACCCCTTTTTCCAGGCGAGTGTGAGCTCAGCTTTTCGATTTCTCGCCTCCTCGTCCCCTAGCTTTGTCCCACGCGGTATCGATGAATTACGGTCTAGATCGTTCGGCTTGGATATCGACCAAGGACACGATCTTGGACGCCTGGCCCTGCGGTCGGAGAGTGATGCTCTTCTGGCGGAGGTTGGTCAGTCTTGCGCTCAAGCTAAGGCGGTTGCGACTGCTCAGGCCAGAGCTGCGTGGAAGGAGTTGGTCAGGGAGGGGTTGAATGGAGGTGCTCGGGGCGCTCAGGTGGGGCCATTCGTGATCTTCCGCCGTGGACTCCCACCACAACTCTTTCGATTGGGGGGGTTGTGCTGGCTGCTCCTCTTTCCTTGCTCAAGGAAGAGTAGGATCAGTTCGTCTTTATTTGGTGGGAGGGCGAAGGGATTGGGGTGGACGGCTCGTCTTTGCCTCCTATCCCGTTGCTTGAACCTGACCAGACCAGGGCACTGTCTAAGAAGTATCGTCATTCCAGCGCGGTGAGTGTGGATGGCTTCCACTGCAGGCACCTGTGCGACGAAGCCTTGTTGTGTCTTGCTATATGGTTCAATATTGTGGAAATCGCGGGGTCTCTGCCGATGCAAATTTCCTGGGTCCTGGTGGCTCTCCTCGGTAACCCCCAAAGAGGGTTTCGGCCGATCGGATTTGTTTCGAGCTGGTACCGTTTCAGGGGACGGGCCAGGCGGCACTTGGCGCAGAAATGGGAAGCTGACTACCCTCGGGAGTATTGGGCGGCAGGGGCCAACCGTGGCGCGTCTGATGTTGTCTGGCGCCAAGCTTATCGTGCGGAGCTCGGCACCTCTAAGGGTGAAGGGAGCGCTTCGGTTGTTTTGGGAGCTTCGGAAGTAATATGAACACGTAGACTTAGGCTACCAGTATGGCAATTGTAAGCAGCATGGGCTTCCCCTTAGAATTGCGCGTCTCGCTATCATGGCCTACTCGAGTGTCAGGTATGTTTTGTTTGGAGGACTCGTGCAGGGTCCCTTTTTTCGCCGTGCGAGGGCTTGTGGCGGGCTCGCTACGAGCCTCATCGGAGTCTTCGCCACGGATAGTTTTGATCATATACCTCGTCCTTTGGGCTTGGACTTCGATGCCTATGTGGGCGACCTGAGTCTCAGCTTCACGGGTACGGCCAGATCTGTTCTTCGAGCCTTGGTGGAGGGAGCTCGTGCCTTGCATGAAAGGGTCACGCAAGTTCTCAGTTGTAAACTGGCGATGGATAAGATAGGCATGGCTTCTTCGTCCAAAGATGTTGCTTCCCAGCTCGTCCAGGAACTTGGTCCCCTTGAGGGCTCGGAGGGGGATGTTGGGAGAGTTGCCAACTTGGGGGTGGATTGCACTGCCGGCAGGGCTTTTCGTGCGCCTGGCAAAGGCCGCGCGGTTAAGCTGAAGTCTAGGATTGCTGCCACTCTTCGTAAGACCAAACGCCTGTGCAAAAGCAAAGAGGCTCTTGGCAGGAAGACGCTCAAACTGTTCGCTGCGGGTCCGCTTGCTGGCGGGGCCTATGGCTCGGATATTCTCGGTGTTTTCGACTGGGAACCCTTGGCGTTGCGCAGAGCCTCCATGTCTTGCTTGAGGCCGAGGGCCCAAGGCAGATCTCTTGCTGTGCTCAGCCTGCTTGAGAAGGATCCGTGCTGGAGAGCCAGTGTCGCTCCGATTTTGCGGTGCGCGAAGGAAATCTGGCTGTGTCACACGAGAGCCTTCCGCTGGTGCCTTTCGGGGGCCGAGCTCCGTGAGGGATAGGCCCAGACTTTTCAGCATGACGATCATTCCTGGGCTGAGGTCGGAGGGCCTTCATCGACCCTACGTATGTGTTTGTATAGGCTGGGTTTGGCCATGCCTGATTTCACGTCGTTCAAGAATGATTTCGGCAGGGATATGTCGATGACCCTCACGCCCCCGACGCTTCGCAAGGTCCTTTGCAGGGGTGCGGTGTTCAGAAACCTTGAGCGGGAGTCAGGTGAACGCTATGGGGTGGGGCATCGGCTGTGTTGGGATGTTGCTAAGCAGCAGTTAGGCTCATCAAGGATTTCGGGCATGCCCAAAGCCTGCATGCGTGCGCAAACCACCAATGCTGTTTGGACTGGTGCGGATGCAGTGCGGGCAGTCTACGCTGTTTCAGATCGCTGCCCGTTGTGTGGATGTGCGCTTGACACATTACATCACCGCCCACATGAGTGTCCTGCCGTTTCGAAAAAGCGCGAAGAGGTATTGCCTGATTGGCTGGTTTGTGCCGCTTGCGATGTGGATCGCCCGGAATACGACAGAGTTCTCTTTCGGCATGGTGCGTTCCGACATCCTGGTGGCGCGATGCCTCCCCCTTTGGGTGATGGTGGTGTCTCTCGGGTGTGAGAAGCTCAAGACCTGCCTCCTCCTCCCCCTCCTGTGGCTCTGAAAGGGTGGCTCTTGGGGACCCTATGTGGGGCTATGTTTTATTTTTTTGTGGATGGCTCTTGCCATCGGCACGTGGTTAAAGAGTTTTCTCGGGTTGGCTGGGCTGTAGTCATGATGGGGAAGGATGGCGAGCCCCTGGGCGCTCTGAAAGGTCCCCTGTGGGCTCCGCGCCCCCAGGCCCCGCAAACGGTTGAATTTGCGGCGTTTGCCTGGTCTGGTGCCTATGCGTCTGCGCCGTCTATTGGGTTTTCAGATTGTCAGAATGTCGTAGATCATGTTGCCCTCGGGAAGGATGTGCTCGGTGGGAAGAAACAGTACATCGGTCTTGTCCTGCAGGGCGCCTTCCTGTATGGTCCCCACCTCCATGCCTTGAAAAAAAGGTGCCAGCTTACCGTCGTTTGGACAAGGATGGGATTTCAGTCGAGGAGAAGTTTAGGAGGTTAGGGGATTTCCACGCCGACCTTGCGGCGAAGGAAGAAGCGGCCCTGC